AAACTATGCTACTTTAAAAATTGGCATTTTCCCCCATGACTATAAGAGCTGACATTATACTCTAGAGACACACAAGATGATACTGAAATAATTATCCTTTATTATTATAAAATTACTGGAAATGAGAATGATTTTTTTTTTAATTTTCATACATTTATTCTTCTTGGTTCACTTGATCCAAGGTTTTAAGTTTTTGAGTATTTATAGAAATAATCTTAAACAAATGTATTTGTTGTATGTGTTTCAAAGTATTTTACATGTGCACAATAATCTGTTTGTTCTTATACTAGGTCCACACCTGTCAACATTTAGATTTTCCAACAGTGAACATAAATGAAAAAGTTTTAAACAGAACAATCTATTTCATGTTTTAAAGTGCCAGTCAAACATGAATAGGTCTTAATAGGTTAACTGATCACAAAAAGAATGAAAATCCCAAAAAGATGTTTACTTGTGTGACAAAGAACTCCAGTAAAGCCTGTAGAGCTCTATAATAATAATAATAATAATAATAATAATAATATTAACAACAACAATAACAATAACAACAACAACAACAACAACAACAACAACAACAACAACAACAATAATAATAATAATAATAATAATAATAATTCAATAGAGGATTGACAAACTCTCACTTTGTTCCAGCCATTTTACTGGCACCCAACCTCTTTGAAGTTTTTTAGCAACAATTGTAAAAACCAAAAATGATTCAAGGGTGAGCTTCTTTATTTTGTGATTTTTAAATGCTTTAAAGTGCAGCATGTGGAAACAAAGAGTTAATTTTGTTACTTGGCTTAAACATCTCCTAATTCCAAAGACACTTATATTTTAACTTTTCACGCTTTAACTTGTCTCTCCTGATGGAGATACAGTTAAATAATCAATAACGCCTCATGTTTTATGCTGATTCAATTCATACAGTATTCTGTATTCATTGTTCATACAGTTTAAAGCTACAGTGAGGAACTTTGATCTGGGGTCCGTTTCACGTAGGTGGTTCAACAAACTCTGAGTTAAATCCTTAACTCTGAGTTGATCTACTCTGAGTTAAGGAAACTCTGAGTTTCCGGTTTCACAATACCTGATTTGAGACGGTTTTAACAACTCCGAGTAGTTTGACCTGGAGTTAAGCACGTGCACGCCAGACATAAACAGCCAGCATCTGTGGAGCGCAGATTCAATGATCAACCAATGGAAACAGGGAGAAGGAGGGGGCAGCAGCAAGCCAACAGCGAATTACAGCACGTTTGTAAAAGAAAGTGCAATACAGCAGCAGCTGCAAAGGAGAGGGAGAGGGCTTGGGAGGAAATCGCTGCTCGCGTCAATGCGTAACTTTAAATCTAGTCTCGTGCAATCACAATGACAGACTGTTGCAGGGAAACTGCTTGAATCATTTTGATCATGTTTTACATTGTCAAGTAAGTATTAAGTGGCAGTTTGATCCCTTAGAAAATGCTCTTTTCACACTCAAAAAAATGAATTTTACTCTCTTATGATGTTCCGTTAAGTGATTAGGAATATTAAACTAACTCTCAGTATGTATATGTACATATATTAAACTAACACACACTACACTCAATATTAGACTTTCACTCAGCAAACAGAAAGAGGGCAGATGCCAGAAAAAACGGGTGGTGGCCCAGCAGCCCCCCCGACGATCGAAACCCCCACCTCGTAGCAGCGATCGTCGGACTGGTGTGCGTGCGTGTGTGTGTGTCTGTGGGGGGGGATTTGCGATCGGACCGGCCGCGATCGTCGAACGGGGGGGGGGGGGGGGGGGTGGGGGGCAGCTCCTCTGCCTCCGTTAAAGGTGGGGCTGCTGGACCACCACCCGTTTTTGTGTTAGTTTAATATTCCTAATCATTTAACGGAACATAATAAGAGAGTAAAATTCAGTTTTGAGTGTGAAAACAGCTTTTTTAAAGGGATCAAACTGACACTTAATACTTAGTTGACAATGTAAAACATGATCAAAATGAGAAAATGCCGATGTCTCACCTGAAACTCTGGGTTTACTGAGTTAAACCTGCTCCCGAGCAGGTTAGGTTCACGGAGTCTGTTACTGCGGTAACTGACCGCGAGGTTGAGTTACCTCTCTTTGTGAAACAGGTTAGAGTTACCCCTCTCTCCCTGGTTTAACTGACCCTCCTTTGTGAAACGGAAAACTCAGAGTTACCCTGATTTCAGGGTTAACAAACTCGGAGTTTCCACTAAACCTGCTACGTGAAACGGACCCCTGGTGTCGGTTCTAGGTCATCCTGTCTTTTACAGTTTGAATAAACACACACTGCCAGTGTTTACTGTGGGAAGTTTTAAAAGGCAGTTTTAGCAGTGTTTCTTTTTGCCCTGAAATGTCTGTTCTGACATCTGACGGAACACAGTCAGACACTCTTGTTTTCACTCATTGATAATACCTCCTCCTTCAGTGATTTAGGCTCATTTTTCACTTTAGGCTGTGTCTCAGTATATCCTACATCCTCAAATGAATGACAGCTCTCTATAATTAAAACAACAACAACAGCAGACTCCTTATGAAAGCTGCTGACATTCATCAATATTCCCGGCTTTATAAACCTGGCTAATTATTCAAAATTGTCTAATAAAAAACAATGGCACGAGGCTGAATGTTTGCGTTTAGGGTTTATTGGAAGCCTCCTGCCTGGGTTGTAGTGTTAATGCATGTGTGTCTGTACATGCTTTATTAGTGTGTGATGCATTCATTAAAAACCGGCTATAACCTGTGATTTTATGAAGGCCCTCCTTTCTCAAATGGCAGCAAACATTAAATAACCTTCCTAATTACATCATAATCCTCCTCTGATCCGCCCTTATGGATGCGATCAGGAGGCTGGATTGTCCTGTGGACAGCGTCACATGTGATATGTGCTTTGTGTTGATGTGGTATATCAATTGTGCATCCTGAGGGTAAGTATTATGAGGTAAACTGCCAACTACAGAGAAAAAGTACCTTTAATGTTTATTGACCTGACAAACACTCTGATCTTTGACTGCTCCCTGTCAACAAAGGTTTACTAGTTCCACTGCCAGAAATAAAATGCAGGAAATATAGCTTTTTTATAACAATCAGTTTTAAAAAATGGGGGTGTAAGAAACTGAGCGAGGGAGAGAGACTGGGGAATAACATGCAGTAAAATCTAATCTGTTTCCAGGTCTATAGCCTCTGTACATGGGGCATCTTAACCTCTTTACCCACTGCCCTAAGATGTTCATACTGACCAATCACAGGGCTTGCAGTCTGTGCTGCTTCTACTTTCAGTTGCATTATTCAGGAGGTACATGCATACGCTTGGTAAAGGGCTGCATGAACTTACAGTGAATACTCCAGGAGACCTTTCAGACATGCACTCTCACCCACAGGTTTGTATAACTGTAATGTTCACACTTATATCCTCACAGCTCCCCTGTCAGACTGGGGGGCATAAGGGTCTTGGGAAACTGATCATGACGTCAAATAGATACTGCAGTACTTAAGATGGGCTGTTGTACTGTCATATTAAAGTTTAAAAGGCCTTATCCTTGAATTGAACTTATCCAGGAGTTTTAATTCAATTTAAATCTCATTGTCTGTGTTTTTTCCTTCCCCAAAGAAGACCTGTCTGTTCATAAATCTTCTGATGTGCTGTTTTCAGTGACTGCACATGAGAAGATTGCGGTCAAGAGAGAGAGAGAGAGAGAGAGAGATACTCTTTAGCTGCATTATATTCATCCTGTAACGTGTCACTTGTTACAGGATAAACCAGGAAAAATTCTTGGTGAAGTGAAAAACTCAGCTGTGTCTGCTCACCTACAGGGGGATGTGGGTAAACTTCAGGGACCTTGTGCATGTCTGAAAAGGGAGATGGACACACACACACACGCACGCACGCACGCACACACACACACACACACACACACACATACGCATAGCCCTTCCTGCTTTGCTGCCCTCTGTTACAAATCCTGAGACAAAGCGGTGATATGAAAACAATAGAGCAAGCACAGAGTTAAAGTGATAGAGTCATGGCCCCAAACTAAAACAATGCTCTGAGTTTGTCAGTTGTGGCATCATGATCTCCTTAAGCTGAGCAAAGAGTCAATGTGGGCAATGAACTAGTCAGTTTGTGTGTGTGTGTTTGTGTAGTTGTTTTGATGTGCCGACAGCTGACAGAGGGTCCGTTTCACGTAGGTGGTTCAACAAACTCTGAGTTAAATCCTTAACTCTGAGTTGATCTACTCTGAGTTAGGAAACTCTGAGTTTCCGGTTTCACAATACCTGATTTGAGACGGTTTTAACAACTCCGAGTAGTTTGACCTGGAGTTAAGCACGTGCACGCCAGACATAAACAGCCAGCATCTGTGGAGCGCAGATTCAATGATCAACCAATGGAAACAGGGAGAAGGAGGGGGCAGCAGCAAGCCAACAGCGAATTACAGCACGTTTGTAAAAGAAAGTGCAATACAGCAGCAGCTGCAAAGGAGAGGGAGAGGGCATGGGAGGAAATCGCTGCTCGCGTCAATGCGTAACTTTAAATCTAGTCTCGTGCAATCACAATGACAGACTGTTGCAGGGAAACTGCTTGAATCATTTTGATCATGTTTTACATTGTCAAGTAAGTATTAAGTGGCAGTTTGATCCCTTAGAAAATGCTCTTTTCACACTCAAAAATGAATTTTACTCTCATATGATGTTCCGTTAAATGATTAGGAATATTAAACTAACTCTCAGTATGTATATGTACATATATTAAACTAACACACACTACACTCAATATTAGACTTTCACTCAGCAAACAGAAAGAGGGCAGATGCCAGAAAAACGGGTGGTGGCCCAGCAGCCCCACCTTTAACGGAGGCAGAGGAGCTGCCCCCCCCCCCCTCGACGATCGAAACCCCCACCCCGTAGCAGCGATCGTCGGACTGGTGTGCGTGTGTGTCTGTGGGGGGGGGGGGGGGGGGGGGGTTGGGGGGGCAGCTCCTCTGCCTCCGTTAAAGGTGGGGCTGCTGGACCACCACCCGTTTTTGTGTTAGTTTAATATTCTTAATCATTTAACGGAACATAATAAGAGAGTAAAATTCATTTTTGAGTGTGAAAAGAGCATTTTTTAAGGGATCAAACTGCCACTTAATACTTACTTGACAATGTAAAACATGATCAAAATGAGAAAATGCCGATGTCTCACCTGAAACTCTGGGTTTACTGAGTTAAACCTGCTCCCGAGCAGGTTAGGTTCACGGAGTCTGTTACTGTGGTAACTGACCGCGAGGTTGAGTTACCTCTCTTTGTGAAACAGGTTAGAGTTACCCCTCTCTCCCTGGTTTAACTAACCCTCCTTTGTGAAACGGAAAACTCAGAGTTTCACTGATTTCAGGGTTAACAAACTCGGAGTTTCCATTAAACCTGCTACGTGAAACGGACCCAGAGTTGCTGCTGACAGATGAAAGAAACATTTCTCTTCTGCAGAGGCCTGAAGAGCTGCTATAGCACTGTTAAACTGCAGAGAGAGAAAAAGAGAGGGAGAGAGAGTAAGAGCATGCAGGGATTGACACACGTGATGAAAGGAGATGTGGAAAAATAAAAGGCAGACAATAGAGCAGGGACAATGTTTTTGGTATAAAAGAGAGCAAAGCAGAGAATAACACTGATGCTTATACACAGTACTGTGAAATATGATGCCCTGGGATCTGAGTTTTTATCAGGGGCAATGATGCAAATAGAGGCAATACATCAAAAAGGAGGAAGACAGAGAGGTATCCAGAGAGGGGCTGAACATGCAGAGAAGAAACAGCACTGAGAGAAAAAGAGGGTAAACACCGAAATCAGATGAAGGCACCCATGATGTAACAGACTGAAATGAGCTGAAAATGGACAAGGACATGGACTGGACTGGTGCAAAGGTAAAAGACCACTTGTATCTACATGAATTCTACCTAAAATTTATTCTAGTTCAATAAATATTTTAAATACCTGCCTCCTCATCCTTCTGATATGTGTGATGTGCTTTTGCAGGCTGAGACTCAAGCTCTCTGTGGCACCAGAAGAAAAGAAAAAACATGAATAAATGGTTGTCTCCTTGTGAGTTTGCTAACTCTTACATGCAAATGATCCCTTTCAATAAATGAGCGGCATAGCTGAATTTATCCGAGACAAGATGGAAGTTGTGCTGAATGAAGTGAGTTTCAGAAAATGAAATGTCCAAATATTGCCCTCTGAGAAAGAGTTATGAGCGGGGAGATGTGCTAATGTTGCGTTCCCTAAAATCATCTAAATTAATGTGCCATGAAATAGGTCATTAATGAGGATGCATGGGCCATACATGCAGACAGACAGATGAGGAAGCTGCTGCTGCTGCTGTCGTAAAGCAGACATCATTACACCAGACCACACACACACACACACACACACACACACACACACACACACACACACACACACACACACACACACACACACACACACACACACACACACACAAACAAAACTATAATGTCAAGAGAAAAGTTGTCCTGTGAAGAATGAAAACAGATGGATGTTTTAAATGCTTAGTGTTTAAATGGTAAAACTTCTACATGATCTCTCCTTGGAATCTGAGGTTTTATAGGTTTTATATCTTAACAATAGTTTGCTGTAGATGAGTCAGTCTAATAAACAAGGAATTACAGATAACTGTGAGTTTGTCATGTGAGAACAGAAATCTAACACCAAATATAACACCAAGTAAAAAAAATACTGAGAGCTTGAGGAGAATACCGGTTTTATGTGACTGAGAAAGCACCTCAAGAAGCCCCTGAAGACCAACAGTTTATATTTTATATTGATTTATCATTGGTTTATCAGGTGACACTGGCACTATCAGATGACATGCAAGTTCTTGTCGGGTGACGCCAGCAAGGCCAATGACGGAGAAACACTCTCCCACTCACTCCAGCAGCTTTGTTTGTTTTGTGTTCATAAGTCTCCCCAATAAAAAAAAAATCTCTGTACACACTCTGAAAATGTGAATCTCTGTAGTTTTACACTCTCAGTTTGAAAGGTATTATGTGTTATAATGTTGGGTCAGAGTTGAAAAGCATTAAAGGACTCAAGGAATCTTTCCCCTCATTATAATAAAAGAATACATTAGAAGCAAACAATGGTGTACTATGAGGAAAATACACACTTAATATAGTTACTTTCACCGGAAAGACTTTCGAATGTAAAACAACTAGTAAAGCAGCTGAAGTGGGCGGTGTCTCTTGGTGGGCCATATCTGGTCTGTCAGCACCTGATTGGATTATACGTGTAAATGACATAATTTCCTGACACTTCAACCTACTACCCACTTCAACTGCTGATCAAAAAATCTGTACTCAAATGATAGCCAATCAGCACAGAGATTCTCTGTGAAGTATGTCAACAGACCAGCTGATACACACACACGTGTGTGTGTATATGTATATATATATTTATATATATACATATATATATATATATATATATATATATATATATATATATATATATAGATAGATAGATAGATAGATAGATAGATAGATAGATAGATAGACAGATAGATCCCTGTTGATTTTTTTAGGTCCAATTCCTAATCAAAAGTCTTGGAGTTTATATGAGTGATTTCAAGACATTCTGCTAGTCTCTTGATTTTGGAATCAAATGGTGCAATAAAATAACTTCATGATCTTGACTTTAAGGTTTAATTTCAAAATTTACTGCAGCGCTACACCATCATGGTCTAAAACCACAAGACATATTTCAAGTTTTTATTCTGTGGCAAACTGAATAACAGCTTTTGTGTTGTGCTCCCTGACATCAGTATTATTAGCTGCACCTGTATGCTAAGATCTAACTGATATTTCTAGTCAGTTTGTCACACACTTTTAGGTGAAGTCTGCTATTTAAAAGCACTGTGTGAAGTATTTGTCATAGCTGCAGCAGGAAGCAGGAGGACGCTAGCCTGGCTGAGCCATCCTGTTGCGTGAATCACTTGACGTTCCTTCCCACCACAGTCTGGACTTCGGCCCATAGAGAGCGTGTATTCCCGATCAGAAAATAACCGGGCCAATCAGAGACCGTGTTTCCACTGTTACCCGGACAACAGGGAAAGACAGCCCCTGATTGGTCCATGTGTAGTGGCGACGTCTAATAGATGCTGCGGGACTTTTCAAAGCGCCGTTCATTCAGAACGCCGTTAATTCTGCAGTTGACTTTGCAAAGTCGGCAGAAATCGTTTATATCCGCAGAAGAAGACGCTCGCACACGTTGAAATATTACCAAATGTTTACTTGACGGTTGAGAGCCCGGCACGGAACACAATTGCGCACTGTGATGATGTCAGATGTTTGGTTACGGTGATTGGTTACAGTAAACTGTCTATCAAGGAACGTTCTTCCGCCCACTTTCAGGGCTCCCTATGGGCCGAAGTCCAGACTGTGGTGGGAAGGAACGTCAAGTGACTCACGCAACAGGATGGCCCAGCCAGGCTAGGAGGACGCAGGTAACTGCTGTTCAACTACGGCATGTCCAAGGGATAGCATTGCATGTTATTTTGAAAAGCTGCATTTATCTTATATTTAAAATAACAGATTGACGCTAACGTTTCTACATTCTGTCTCATCAAGGTTTCATTTTCTTACAGAGTTTGTGCAAATGCTTCATTAAAGCTATGAGTTGTTAATCTGCTAGTTATGTTTGATGATGTCTTCTTTAAAACTACAGGACTACAGGAGTCTATAACCAAACTTGGTGGGTAACAAAGTTAATCTCACTGTTTTATCAACAAATATGTTATAGATATAACGTAAGGATAACAGTTCATTCTTAATCAGTGACTATTGTCTATATTTTTATAATGATTATTTACTGTAATTTCTTGTATGCCTTAATACATACCTGCCTAAACACTAACCTGCTTGCAGAGCGTAGTAGTCCAGTAGACATCTCCTGGAGTTAAGGTGTTGTTTACTCTCATCACTCTGCAGTGCGTCTTGTAATTAACCATCTCTTTCTGATTTCATCCTGTACAGTGAACCATGAGTCTGTTTTTTCTTCCCTCTGGTCTTCCTGTGGAGCCAGCATTAAAGTTTACCAGTTAAAGAGCCTCCTTTTGCTGCTGTCCAACCACTGTTTTGTGATGAGTAATCACCTTCCGACCTGCAGACGCACTCTCTGAGTAGAAAGGGTGTGTGACTGTGTGTGTCAGCCTGCATGCTTGTGTGTGTGTGTGTGTGTGTGTGTGTGTGTGTGTGTGTGTGTGTGTGTGTGTGTGTGTGTGATTTATGAGATTTATGAGTGCAGACCTTGGAATGGGCTCTGTTTTTCTACCTCATGGGCTGCCTGTTGCCCACGCTGCATGCACTCAGAATCAGCAGCAGTCATTCTGCAGAGACGGGAGGTTCTATGGAGAAAAAATATTGACTGCACAACAGTATGATATTGCTGTACCTCCCCATGATGTGTCTCATCCATCCATGTATTCGTAGTATGATAAACATAACACTGACTGTGTTTATTATTCTGTGCACAAGGTCATATACAGAGACCTGGACCAAATCACATTCAGCACAGAGACGCAACAATACAGTAAGCCCACCATTTAATACCTGTCTGGACTGTTACATCACAGTTTTTGGTTCAGTTCAGTTCTGATGAGCCAGGTTTTTTGTGTAAATTTTACTGGAACAAGAATAATAACAAAATGAATTCTTTATTGTACCTTTAAAACAAAAACCTTTGTATTTGCTGCACACATTTCGAGTGTACTGTGTGGCACAAAGTAAATAAACATAAGGATGCAAGATTTTTATTGTTAATTTCTGCCATATGTGAGTACATACAGTATCAAAAAAGATGTTTCTCACCAGTCCATGGTGCATAAAATACAGAGAAAAATTAAAGATACAAAGAGTACAATAAAAAGAGTATATTACAGTAGGAGAGTGGATTTAGTGTCCACATCATAGACTGTATATAGAATGGGTGCCGTCTGCCTCCTCGCTGGGTGAAGCCACTCCAAAAACAGCACATCCTGGTGATGGGCTGCAGTATAGGTCATAAATCCCGCCTTCTTCAGCAATTCCTATGGGGCTGTGGACAAACTTGAGAAATTAATTACACAGAATATACATTTGTCTCCGCCCTGGTTGCGATGTTGACATGTAGTTACAGTAAGACTGGTTTGTGCTCAAGTCCTCTTTTTTCTGTGAAGCTCCATTTTTAAAAGTTATTAGGGGGTTCATGTTTTCTATGATTGACACTTGATACAGCCTATGGGTGTACGAAGATTGCATAGCTCACCCGGGGGATACTCCGTTTGAGCTGAGCAACATCACAGCAACTCTGGGCGACTCTTCCGCCGAAGGCGAACAATGTTACTGCGCAAGTGGTGAAGTGCGTACACCGCTTCTACACAATGTTGGTTTCAGGAAGTGGAGAAAAAAAACGCAGAATTACCGAGAGCTTTTCAGCTTCACATCCATATATTGGCGGAAGGCGGAACAAAGTTGTCCGTATATACAGTCTATGGTCCGTATCTACCCTTGTGTCTACTGGGCCTTTGTATATACTGTATATACACCACTATACACATGCACCCGACACAAATGCAAACCTAATGAGGAAGTCCAGTGTTTTGGGGGGCAAAGAGGGGAGGTGCCAGGGAGGGGAGAGAGTTCAGCTTTCTGACAGCCCGCTGGGTGAAGCTGTTCATAGTGCAGGCCCGGAGGCTCTAGTACCTTTTCCTAGAAGGCAGGAGGCTGAACAGGCTGTGCAAGGGGTGCCTATAGTCCCTTACAATGTTGACTGCTTTGCAGGTGAGGCAGGTGTTGTACATATCAAGGAGGGAGGAAAGGGTGACACCAAACCAATGATCTTCCCAGCTGGCTGTCCAGCTGCGCATCACTGGTATTATAGGGTTGTCTGTGAATTTGCTAGCCATTGGGATTGTGTGACCATCACAGAGTTTGAACTGCTGCACTTTTTATTTCTCTGTGCTTATGGCTTTGTGCTTTAGCCAATATGTTCACAATAACTTTGTGTGTTGTTTCACAGAGATCAGGAATTACTTGATGCAGAAAAATGTCTAAGCGTGTCCTTTGTCAGACTGAGTGTTCTCATGAAGTAACAACAGCCCACATCTCCAGACATCAAAAACAGGAGCCAATAGGAGGTTTTCACGGAGGACGTCACTTCTGTGTTACGCGGTACGCACGCAATACAGATGGAGGGCAGGAAGTGAGTTGCTGCAATAGAGACCAGCAACATGCCGATTTTTTGCTCCGTTTACGGCTGCTCGAATCGATCGAACAGGGAAAAAAACAAGAGCTTTTATCGTGTGCCCAAAGTAGTGTTACACAAAGGGGAGAGATGTAAGAAGCTGACTGAAAAATGCCGGAAAAAAATGGCTTTTTAATCTCCACCTACGGCAGTGGTTCTCAAATCCAGTCCTCGAGCCTCCCCGTCCTGCATGTTTTAGATGTCTCCCTGCTCCAACACACCTGATTCAAATGATCAGCTCGTTATTAAGCCATTACAGAGCTTGATAACGAGCTGATCATTTGAATCAGGTGTGTTGGAGCAGGGAAACATCCAAAACATGCAGGACAGTGGGCCTCGAGGACTGGACTTGAGAACCACTGGCCTACGGTCTGGAGGAGCTGCATCGGATAATGCCAGTGTGTGCAGTGACCACTTTGACAAAGGTAATGACTCATTTTCAGCCCGTGGTTAAATTCTTTCATTCCGAAGTTGAGTCGTGTCAAACTGTGTAGGGAGGTGGGTATAGAGAGGGCAGACGCGCTGGGAGCACCCCAGAGCTCCGGAGGGGGCGGACGGGGAAAAGGGGGGTCCTTTCGGCCCCTAGCCCTGCTACACCCCCCCGACCCCCACCCTCCGACTACAACCTCTGATCAGACGAGACAACCTGCTGAATTTAAGCATATTACTAAGTGGAGGAAAAGAAACTAACCAGGATTCCCTAAGTAGCAGCAAGCGAAGTGGGAAGAGCCCAGCGCTGAATCCCGTGGACGGTGTGAGGCCAGTAGCGGCCCCCGTCGCGCTGGGGTGTCGGGTTGTTTGGGAATGCAGCCCATAGCGGGTGGTAAACTCCATCTGAGGCTAAATACCGGCACGCATCTAAACCGGCACATCTCCTCCATTGCAGTCGGTCGCTTCCTGCCCTCCATTTGGTCCTCGCACGAAGTCAGGATCATGCGACTAAAAACCTCCTATTGTATGTTTACCATTTACCACACCAAGAAATGAAAGATGGAGGTGCTTCCCCTCCTTACTGCCTCTCCTCACCACTGGCCATGCCAGTATTATGTGTAGTCTGTAGCCTGTGTAGCCTGTGCTGTCAGGTCCCCTTAAAGTTCCACTCCGATCGTTTTTTTTTTTACTACTCAAAGTGTTAAAAAAACCCTAGCACTGTTTGTAACCTGCACTCTGCCCTGATGAAGATCTAACCGACCGAAAGCTTGCTTAAATAAAGCCCTTCTTTTTTGCTACAGACCAGAAGTGTGCGGATTGTTTCTCTTTTTTGACTTTAAAGTTTTTGCAAATCCTGCACCTTCTCTCCAGATTGAGCGGTGACCCTTCACTATCTTACAACTCAAAGTGTTCTCAGTGGTTTTTAGAAATTTTTAGCTAAAATTTCGTTACCTGTGCCATTTTCAAGGGCTTTTCTTCTGCAGAGCTCCATTAGACTAGCAATTCACCTCTGAGTTGTGGGTGGAGACAGCACTGCTCTGCACAATTTTCCTCAAGTTAGTTTGCAGCATAACATTGCCAGTGTAGTAGAAGAAGCAGGTAACATATGAGCTATTCAGCTTTCGGACACTAATGTCTTGGGGGACATGATGAAAGTTAATATAATAATAATTTTTTACGAGCATTGCAATCCGCTAATGCACATGCTTGTTCCACGATCATCCTCTCATCAAACCTGAAACCAGGAGAGAAAGATACACACTAAAAAATTCAGGCTGAAAAAAAAACCAAAAAAAAACTTTGTTTTCAAAGAAAGGCAGACAACAGGGGTTTGATGTCAGAATGTCAGAGATGGAAATTTTTCAAAAGCAAAAAACCTTTTTGAGACAGTCCTAATATATCCAGCATGAAAATGTAAAAACAAAGAGCAGCAGGGCCTTCTTTCGCGTCTTTTTCTCTCTTTTTTCTTTTTTTTTTTTTTTGCTGTTTGTCATATACACTTTGCACATTTCCAAAATTATAATAAAGATCATCCTTTTCACTGGTAGCAAAAAGGAGGTATCTGTGATGACAGGGCAGGAGATGTTCTGCGACAGTGCTGTCGTGAAGGTGTCGGTGGAGACAGAGTGTCATCCACAGAAAGTGTAAATACGACACAGAGCAGTGAGAACAATCATCACCGTCATCTGAGCAGGTTTGACGGCTCCTTTATTCTCGCCAGTGTGTCTAGTGTTGGCAGAGGTTTAGATTAAATTGAAATGCTGGTTCTTTAAAGGCTCATCATTATTCTTTAACACAAAAATGACTCTCTCCACAGTCACCTTACTGACGTGACAACACATATGACACAATCATGTTTGTTTTTGTGTTGCCGCACATCGATGATAGTGTCAGAGACTTGTTTTCTCTGGGTGGCGTGGGTTGTGGAGGAGGGGGTGACCAGTTTTTACAGTTGTCTCCTTTTCTGATGCTTCATGAAAAGAGCTTTTTCAGGTGGGACGCAACATGCCACAACTGACATGACACCCCATTCAACTGACACTAAAAGCTGATGAAAACACTCATCTGAGCTTTAATTAACATCAAGCTCAGCTGCTCACAGTCCTGTAGAGCAACACTGTGAGTTTTTAAGTGAGAGGTGCACACATCAGTATTACAACTGTTATTCAGAAATGATATTTATACTTACTTCCACACACTACACTAGAGCTTTAAATCCCACAATAACAACCAAATCTGTAGTTTTCCTTTTTTTTGTAA